AGAAACTATTATACTATTATACCATATTTACACTAATCTTTCCAGGCGTTTTTCTGCTATTTTTAGTTGTTTATGCCACTCCTCAAAGCAGTTCCTGTCTGGGATGAGACAGAGGGCCACATCATACCTCTCGTAATCTCTTCTTTGCTTGTTTACAAGCATTGAGGACCATCATTTCTTATTTTGCAGATAAACAGAGAACTTTCTTGTCTCTTGTTGATCTTTGGTTGCCTCTTATTGGACACTACCGACAAGGGAACAATAGAAGAAGAATATGAGACCATGTAATTGGTCAAATGTTTGACGGAAAAAGATGTCATCAAAACAGCTTGTCAAACCCAGAAGACATTAGCGATATTTAGCGATAGCGATCTTTTTATTTTATTTATATCTTTTTACCAGTATATCACTGCGGATTTACCATCAAATGTCTTTGATCAAACACCTTTTTTTGTGGCTGGATTGTAAACCTTGTGGGAGGTGTAGAAATGCCTGGAAACCCTCGATAGATCGCCAAAAGGGTAAGCTTTTTTTAACGCTTTTCATCCCATAGAGATACGTGGTATAGTTCCTGAGAAACTGTAAACAATATTAATGTGTCACATGGGATCACCAGCGATCCAGCGGAGATCTAAGTGTTAATGTGTAATGCAGCGGCAGATTCAGGCTAAAGCTTTGAGTTATTAGCTCTTGCAGGACAATGAAGTCATATGCCCCAGCTGTTATCAGCTAACAGCTGCTGCTTGATTCGTTGTCTCTAATCAACCAGTACATTTTCACATGCAGTTATGCCAAGCTATGGTGAGGTGATTAGGCGATTTTGCTGTCCTTGTCTGCAAGCACTTGGCGAGAACCAAGAACCACCAGGGGTGGCCAATCAGATTTCCAGGGGTGCTATAGAAATGGCCATCCCTCTGAAGATGATTTCATGTTGGCACAGTCATCACTAGCCCAGCCTTTCCCCCCCTGATCTAATAATCCCTAATTTCCTACTCAGTTCAGTCGTCCTTTTTGTCAGAAACACAATACAGCTGATTAACATTCATACAAAACCGAGAGTTTCCCTTAAAAATGGATGAGCTGTACCTAGACTGTTTGGATCATGACAGATGACGTCAATTATCAGTTCATATTTCTCTGTGTGAAGACCTGGGTTTAAGGGACTTCCTCTGGTTAGCACGATTTTACCATATACAATATCATATTTAGGTCAAAGCCAGACCACATGATTGACATTTACATCTACAGGTCTATGAATAAAGGGTCACAGTAAGTCCACAGGGGGCGCCAAAATCAATACAAACAGAACGGTCCTCACAGGAACTTTAAACACTGATTTAAAAAGGTAATAATGGACCTAAATCAGTGATTCATTCCTTTTTAAAAAGGTTTGACAGTCTTAATAATTATGAATTAACAGGCATTGAATGTTTTTTTTTAAGTTGACCATCTGGACTCTATCTTGCACAGCTGTGTTTTTCTGTGTTTTTTTCAACAATGTTATCCTCACGAGTTTTGATGATGAGTGTGTTTTAATCAGGGTTGAGACACATTTGACTTTTAACTCTGTTTTAAAGTCGTCTGTTCATGTTGTCGGGCAGCTGCCAATCAGATCTGAACGGAACCGCACTGGCAGAGCCCTGATGAAGGAGAATGACTGACTTCTTGAGTTTTAAACTCTTTTTAAATAAGAAATGGATTATAGTTTGTGCACTCATAAAGTAGTAACACAGAGCGTTGCAAAATGTAGTCTCAGACCAGACTTGTGTCTAGTTTTCATGCTTTGTTTGTCTGGAGGCAGATTGAACTCAGTGATTTTTTTAAACTATGGGGAAGTTTGTAAAAGAGCTGATGAAGCCGATAAAGGCACAACCCACGCAGCTTATTATCTCCATTTAACTCTGTCTTTGCTGTCTTATTACTGTAAACTTTGCTGCTGGTCCCTCCTTCAGCCTGTACAACACTGGATCAGACCGTGAAAGCACAAGACTGAGCCTCTCTGTCTGTCTTTTACTCTCTTGTTCACTCTGCAGTAATCCCATCCTGTAACAGCTGCAGCTTAAACTGTAAATACACAACATGATGTAGTCAGCGGCACAATGTGTGTTTGTGTGAGTGCATGTGTGACGGTGACCTAATTGCAGGGAGCTGGGGCTGGCCGTTTCCTGTGTTTATTTTCATGTCATTAGGGGAGCACGGAGGGGAGAGGCAGTTCCTTCTCTCGGTCACTCGGACACTTGACTTTTTTTTTCATCTGATTGAAAGGGGAGCAAACATGAGACTTTTTTTGAAAACAGGGATTAGAAAAACAGGGTAATGAGGCCAATAAAAAGAGAGCCACGCTTCTTTGTTAATTTATTTTTCTGCTCTTAGCTCAGTGGGAGTGTTCGGAGACACAAAATGAGACTTTTATATTTTACAAACCTGATTAATTCCTCTTCGAACAACCTGAAAGAGTTAGAAAAGACTCTTAAAAGCAGCATTTCCCCCTTGTATGAATTAAACAGATTATTTTAAAGAGTTTATAGCAACTCAAGATGTTCAACTGGTCATGTTAGCTGTGTGCAATGGTATCCTACCTGAGTAATATCGTGCAAATACAACTTGAACTCCTGCATCAACAGTTTTACTTGGAGAAAATTACTTGTCCTCTTTTACCTGGACATGTCCTCTTTTTTGGAGGCTGTCTAAAGGAGTTTTGAGTTTGTGTAGTGTGGACTTACTGAGTTAGAAGCGATAAAAAACACTCAACTTGACCTGAAAAACCCTCAAATGTTTGCGTGTGACTCTGCCCCTTAGTCGTGTCCTCTTTTTGGGGATTCAGAATATGGTCACCCTAGTGTATGGGGTCTGTAGTTACTGAGAGTAAAATGAAATTGTTGCTAATTTAATCGTCTTGTGAAAATAGCAAAAAACGATAATAAAAAACCTCCCGTAAACAAGCTAACGGAGACATCCTTGAAATAGGAAATAGGCTCCTAAAACGCTTTCTGCTCTTCAGCCGGCACCCAAAGCATCTGCAAATGATACACACAGACTCTCTGTGGACAGGACTAGAATTATCAGACGACAAGTGTGCTTGGAATCGCTGCATAATTGGGGCCCACTCAGGTTGAGGGGGAAAGTCATTGACATGGGTGAATAACAATTGAAGAGCTTTTCCGCTGAAAACACAATTTTCTCTCCGAGTTGACGGGAGCCTGTTAAGTGGCAAAGTGGCATGAATGAGGACTGCAAATGAGTGCTTATGATTAATGTTCCACATGCATAGTCATCAAAATATGATATTATTCAGTGAGATTGTTCTTTCTCGGTTTTAACAAACAACAACCGCTCAGGTTTCTACGCCAAGAAATGCACTTACTGAAGAATTTGAGTCAGACACATTAGTCTCCCGTGGTTTTTAAAAAAAGTTCAGCAAAAAGTTTACATCAAGTTTGGATAAGAGTTAAAAAAAATACCTTTATTTGTGTGTCTGGAGTGCAGCTAAGAGCAGATTAAGAAGCTGTCGTTGATCTGGGGTGATAGCTCAAGTTTGGCGTAGGAATGGGCACGATTAATCGATCGTTGGGAATTACGTCGATCATGCAAAATTTAGATCAATCTAACATTATTAAAAAAGAGCTGTCATTGTGCATCTACAGCGTGGGACCATTTCAAGTGGAAAAAATTATGAGGTTTGCTGCAAACACTGCGATGCTGTGAACAAGTACAGCACGACAATGACCCCAACGATGTACCACTTGAACCTTGAACCGCATACATCCGACTCAAGTCAATGAATCCTCCGAGTGCTCTCAGTCTCAACCTACCATCAGCTCCCTGCATGCAAGAAAGCACTGTAGGGTGACCAGACGTCCCCGATTTGGGGGGACAGTCCCTGTTTTGGATGACCTGTCCCTGGCTAAAGTTGTACCCGGAAATGTCCCGATTTTAGCGCTTCATGAATGAGAAAAAAACAAAGGTTATTACGGTAGGACGCACGAGTTAACGTACGCACAGTCCTGAACGACAGTTGGGTGGGTGGGGTATATCAATGAAGAAAAACATGTTTTTTGCATATTTCCATTAATTTATATGATTAATCGATTAAGGGACTTTCTTAAAATGCCCATTTCTAGTTTGGTGTTCTCACTGACTCATGTTGACCCAGTAGAGCTGCAGTCTAATACAGCTTAGGTTTCAAGACTCAAATATGTGTGAAAGGAATATGATGGATGAAAATAATTTGCTGAAATCAATTTCACAGACTCTAATGTTACACCATGATTACTCAAGCCACTGTGACCCTCGTGGATCAAGGCCAAGGCTGATGCCAAGTCCACTCATGTGCAACACAGCTTCACTGTCGATCCTTCATGACGGACTGTCAGATTTGGTGACCAAAGAGCTGTAAAACTGTGCTGTGACTTGACTGACAGACATGATAAGCTACACTACGGTACATGACTCGTCTTCACAGAGTTAAAGGAAGAGGGATCGAGCTGGACAACTCCCAGAAATGCAAACAGCAGTTACTCACTGATGAGCAGCTGCTGTTTCTCGGCAACATTTCTCTTTTTTTTCGGTCAGTCTTTGTCGACACGTCATAAAGGCAGGGATGATGTTGCCACAGATTGACAGGTGGTTCATTATTCAGAGCTAATTTAACCCTTTTTCTTTATTCATGGGGACAGACATGTTCTACTTTCTATCCGAGGTTGTGAGGCGTCTCAGTCGTCGTCCGAATTGTCATCTTTTGTGACACGACATGAGACAAAATAAAACATTTTGGGACACTTTCTTTATGAGTAAGGGTCACATGGTCTGTTGGATAAAATTGTAATATTAAAATATTGAGTGATATTGTTGAGACATGTTGTGCATCCCTAGTCGACTCCTGTCTGGGTCTAACTTTTGATGTGAGGAAAAAACAAAACCCGTTGGGACTCAGACTCAGCTCAGACACGAGCTTCCCAACAGAGAGGAGGTTGGACACAGGCAAAGGTCGAGTTCCAGGTCTAGCAGGTGAACTTCATCACCAATAGACCCAGCAGGGCCCAGTGGCATGCTTGAAACTCATCTTCTGATTGGCTGCGAAGCGTGAAAGCGTCAGGTTCATCATGACCTGCTGTCTCTGATCCTTCAGCCTCCTCTTGATACCGCTCTTGGTCTCTTTTCACTTTGAGGACTCCTGTCTTTGATTTCGCTCCTCCTTTCTCCTTTTCTTCCTCTTGTTTTGCACCCCAGCTGTTTTTCTCCATTTCCTTTCTTTCACTCTCACCCTGACCTCTCCTCTTCTCTCCTCTCCTCACTGTGTGCCCTTGTTCACTTCTCCATACCTTTCTCGAACCTTTCTCACCCTCCTTCTGACACTCTGTTGCTCTACCCACTACTGCTCCTCCTCAGAGGAACTTTTCATCCTTTTTTCAGGCTCTTCTAACTTCTCTCTCCCTTTAGGCCCGTGTGGCCATTTTTCCTCGCTGCTTCAGTTCCTCCCTCTAGGCTCCTCCAATCTGTCACTCTCGCCTTCCTGTCTTTGTCAATCTGAGCTTCCAGGAATTCATTCGGAGGAAGTTCTCCTTTCCGAACTTGATAACACCTTACCTACTCTCAGCTGTTTCACTCTAAACACTGAGCTTTCTAATTTGGCTTCATTAAATCAAAATCAAACATAAAAAAAGCACAATGGTTATATAATGGAGTTTGGACGTCAGAGTGTTGTAATAGATGATCAGAGCAGCTTCCAGTAAGTTTGTATAAAAAATGTCCTAGTACATGGAGTTCCCGACTCTGCAGGTGTCGTTTCACATATGAGGAGGAGAAGTTTGAAGATGATTGATGGGCCAGGCGAGCTCAGACTGCAGCGTGCACATCAAATTTGTCTGTAATTATGAATCCCTACATCAAAAAAGACAGTCATTTGGATCTAAAATGGTTTCTAACTTGCTAAAAGCTGTAATTTGTTTTTTATTTTGTTTCTTTTTGTTAGATTTTTGAACATTTGCAGTAATATTTTACTTTGAGAGGCAGAATTTTCCTTTGTAAATCATGAAAGTGGATTTTTGGGTTGTTTCTTTGTTATTTTTGTCAAACAGCTTTGAAGAAATTTCAAAAGTTGTAAAAAATTTGCAAAAAAAAGCTGAAGCACTTAAAACAAATCGATGTTGTCCTTGTTGCAAAAAAAGTTGGATGAGTACAATAAAGCGAAGTCGAAGAGAATTTGAGGAAAACTGCAAAAAAAAATCATCATAGTCAGGTGCAAAATATGACTTGACCCCCAAAAATTCTAACAAAAGGTTTTCTCAGCTATTTTTAACAGTATTAGATGTCCTTGATAATATACTAAAAGTCAAAAGTCATCAAAGTTTGACTAGAAAGGTGTCATTTTCATGATGGCGTCCGTGATGAAAAGAAAGAAATAAAATACGGTCACCACCCCTAAAAATTAAAATATCAGAGTTTTTTTCCATGTCCTTAAAATGACAGTTACTCCTTTGTATTTATTCTAGACCAGAAATACTGGAGCCTAATACATGTATTGATCATGTAATATTCTAATTAGCATATTTGTATGATAGATAAGTGAATTTAGGGGTGGTGACAGTATTTCCTCATTTACAGAGTGATAAAAATAGATATCCAGAGTCCCCCCCCCCCCCCGACTCTAGTATGTCAACAAAATAAAACTAGAATTTTGAAAGAAGCGTTATCCGTTGTTCAGTTTTCGGTTCTGGAAATGTATTCAAATTAGTGCATATTTAATTAGATATTACCTCATTTACATATTCAAACATAACATTTGACAAAACTTGTAATAGAAAAAAATATTTGTCTTAATGTAAGTTATAAACTTGGGAAATTTCATGGTGATACCTGTTAGTTAAAATTTTACCCTATATACCTGGGGTGTCTCCCCTGGGCTTTCAACTATCATGGACGCCATCGTGAACATGACACCTTTTTAGCGGTCAAACTTTGGTAAACTTTTAGTATGTTATTCAGGACATCTAATACTATATAAAAACAGTTGAGAAACCTATTGTTGGAATTTGTTTAGTGTTAGGTGGTGTTTTTTCATAAATCGTGATATTAAGGATCAGGAGAAATCACGACGTAAAAGGGCTTCAGGTAAAACATCATCACTGGATAGCTGTGATCTGCAAAAAAAAACAGACATGACTCTGTAGTGGAAATCACCACATGAGCTCCATAGCACTTTAAAAACCATGAGATCTCCAAACAATAGTAAAACCACCTTCCCAGTACCATTCATGTTTAACTAGTATTTCTTTTAATATTTATTTTTAATATCACTTTATTAACTACTATTTTTATAAATCCAGCCTTCTGCTTTGTTTCTTAATCTGAATGTCAAACTGCTTTTAACCTATTGTCATATTTTTGACCTGGAAGTTCTCAAAAAATGTGAGAGTAATTACTTGTGAGGCAAAATTCATTAACTGTCACTCCGAATACTCTGACTGTTTCATCAAAGTGTCATTATTTTTGCAAGGAAAGGTCTTAAGATGCTCCAGCTAATTAACTTTAATGATGTTCTATAATAGAGTTTAATAGTCATGCCGGCAATCAATTTGTCAGAGTAGGTATTGTGTTATTATTTCTAACGACAGGGAGCCCGTTTTTGAAAAGAAACTGCACACTGAGCCGAAACGTGGGGCAAACACACACTTAAAAACACACACACACACACAGTCAAAGACCATATGTTCATATTGTAATCATCTCTCTCTGTAACTAAACCTTGTAGGGTCGTTCGATAGTGTCTTAATACTGGAATGTGATCTTCCTCACTGACTCCCAGTCCTGATAGTAATCATCACTCTAAAGAGCTTAGCTAAGCTGCTTTTAACACATGATCAGCGCGACTGCAAGCCGAGAGAAACGCTCCGCACCCACTCCCACCAGTTCATCCAATTTAAAACTCATCTGCTATGCTGCCAATTCCTGACACGTACGACAATCTCATGTCTGTACTTTCTCTTCAGAATGAGACCTCCAGTCAGCTGAGATCATTCTGACGGTGTTTGGTGTAATTCAACAAGTCATCAAACATGTAGCGTACAATCTGCCGTACCCCCGAGCTAATAAACAAATCAAAGTCGCGCCACTTAATATGTGAAGAAATGACTTTGTGATGCCGGTGAACTTGGCTTGCACTTATTATCTCTGTTTTTTCCAGGTCATGTTTCATATCTAAAGAGGATTACGTTTTAAACTCACAACAAGGGAAGAGTGCCCCGCAGCACAACCCAAATATGAAGATTAATCTGTTTCCCCGGCCTCAAACTTCTGCCAGACAGATGCAGGTGAAACCGTCCGGTGTGATGTTTTCTCCAAACACCCTTACCCGCACCACAACAACAATACCTCCGGGTCACACGGCGCTCACACCCTATGAAAAATGGATGCTTCTCATAAAATATAGATGCACCTGAAATGGTGCTACAAGTGTATATTACAAACATGTCTTCGGTGAAACCCACATTAAAATGTCATAAAGAGGCCTGCACATGGCTGCACAGGGAAAAGATGAAACTGAGGCTGAAAGAGGGAAAAAGGTTGTGTTTCTTTTTGCACTCTTGTCCAACTCTGCACCTGAATACCTTCATTTGACTATCATTGTGTTTTAGTTTAAATAAACATTTACAGACGAAGGGTAGGAATCATGAATGGCCCCACGATATGATATTATTGCGATTTTTACGTTTTTTTTAACCGTTTAGCTAATTTAGCATTTGTCCGTCCTTTATAATTGTCTTATTTACATCTTGCAAACCTTTTATATATCTGTTGTACTAGCTTTCACTTGCTCTATGATGTCTCCTCTACCAACCTCACTGGACAAACAGTTGATTTTATTTTTCCATTGTCATAGATTTGACTTCGTATTAGCAATTAATTTGAAAAATCAATATTTGGTAAATGAGACGATACGATATATCACCAGACAAAATATCATGATACTATGCTGTATCGATTTTTTCTCCCACCCCTAACAGACATGTCCCCAAGTTTCCCTCAACAGCTTCAGAGAAACTTGCAGCTGACCAAATGTTCATTTTTCAAACAAAGTTGCATCATAAGAATCAGCATTTTCCTCAGCTGCTTTGTTGACTCAGTACGCCTTGGAGAGTTGCTCGTAAAAGTGTTGTTGGCTGTGATTAAAAGTCCCAAGCACCAGAAATCAGGAAAGTTGTAACAGCACTGTCTTTGTGCTTCCTCTCAATGTCCTGATAAAAGCTGAACGTTCGGCCAATGGTTTCTGTGAGTTGTGCACCGCAGTATTTACACACTGCAGAGTGTTTTCGCTTGCATGTCCGTTCACGAAACCAAACTTAACAATAGTTAACGATAGTTAAGTTTGCTGACTTGGGGTGTGACGATACACTTAGCTCATAATATGAGACAAGACACGATATTGGGTTCACAAGAATGAGAATGAAAAACTAGAATGACAAAATATCTGACTAGACCAACCTTTGTCTCTTGTTATTGTTGTGGCTCTGTCACTTGACTGAGTAAGTTGAGGTCTGAATGTGTTTCCCAGCGTTGTCTGGCTTGTTAGTGTTTTCTTCACAGGTGCAGTTGATGATTTGAGTACCAAGCGGTGGTGGTGCTGTATATGTTTCTGCATCGTGCTCGTGTTAGCCGTGGTGTACAGCATTATTTTCATACAATGCTTGCATATTGTCTATGTCTTATCAGTCACTCTACTGCCATTAATCATTTCAGACAGGTACCCAAAATGCTGCCAAACAAACGATTTGAAAATGGTGGGGGGATTTTCAATGGTAATACCTGTATGTTCCGTTCTGGCTGCTTGATGTAGCAAAGGTGCATTACTGCCCCCACAGGTCACAAATAGAAGTTTGGATAGCTCACAAATCTTGGGCGACAGATTTTTAACGCAACAAGAAATATCATCGCGAGATCTTGGAGAACGAGATCTCATCACTTTTTTATTGCTGACATTTTTCATGGCGTTTTCGGGGGTGCAGCGTCTTTAGTCGTCATCATCCGCTCTGTGCAGGGGGCGTTGTGTGACACCGGGCAGGCCTAGAGATCAAGACCGATCTCAAGAACGACAACACTACTTCAAAGCTGTGTAAAATGTAACACCCACATCCTCCATCTCATACTGCATCTCTGGAAAAGCAGCCAAAAGCTAAGTGTTTCAGGCAAAGGTTAAAAAGCTTTAAAGTAATGGTTTTCACTTACACAAGTGTAGGATAAATAAGCT